TTTAATGCTATAAAAAGACATTATTTGGGAGTAGGATCAAAACAAGGGTGGTGGGAATTTTACGGGGACTCTAACCAAGATGAAAATGCATACATTGTACAAAAATGAAAAATGATGTAAAAATTTATAAAATAGTAAAAAAAAAAGACATTATTCTGCAATAAAAAAGAACTTTCCATGTATGTTACAACATGCACCAACCTCAAAAACACTATGAAAGTGAAAGCAGTAGAAATGAGAAATAAGAGGTCATGCGACTCGAGCACATGAAGCAATTCATACGAGCTACACAGAAAATGCACATTCGTGGCGAGAGCAGGCAGATTGGTTGCTGGCTTCGATATGGACTGGCAGCAGATACGAACTGCAAACAGAGTCTAGGGAGCTTTTCCAGGTGGTGGAAATGTTCTGAAAGTTAATTGAGATAATGTTTGCCCAACTCTACAATTTTACTCAAGTCATTTCATTCTAGACTTACAATGGGTGGATTTCATAGATGTAAGTTGTCCCTTACTAAAACTCTTAAATATACATCTGATTAAAAGGGTAGGCAAGACTATAAAAAATAGTATTTATTCCTAAATGCCCACTGACACTCTTAAATATAAGATAAATGTATGTGTGATATATATAATCAGTAACGATCACACCAAAGTTGTATTGGCTTTGTGGGGATATTACAGAAGTAAAATACTACCTGTGTGTTGCTATCCCCGATGCCTGCTACATGACCGCGGGCCTGCAACAAATGCCAGATAGAAGCAGTGGCTCCCCTGGGCTGCATGGCCTCAATAAGGCCTGGCTATCCATTCTGCCCATCCCATGGTGCAACTGTCCGCCTGTGACCGCTCAGCCTCCAGGGGACAGATGGGCCCACTTTGTGAGGGGGTCACCCAAGAGGGCAGCTGAGAGTTTCAGAGCCTCAAAAGTTGCACCTTCTATTTCTCAAAGCAGGTGCAGTTCCAAAGCAGAGAGAGTAGCAGCACCTCTTGAGGGGGGACTGGAAAACTCCTGTGGCAAAGAATGAGGAGGCAGGAGGTGTGATTCGTGGGGACTATTATGACAGTGATTATTCAGAGCTGCTTTCCTGTGATATGTGCACACATATTTTACACAAAACTTCATAAACCAGTACCTCCCTGGTGTCACAAGGGGTTAAGTCTCAGCACTGTGAAGCTATCAACAGCCTCTGCAGCACAAGTTCGATCCCTGGCCTGGGGGCTACCCACAGGGCACAGCAGACCTCTCCTGTCTCCCCCCTGCTCCCCTCAGCAGTGTATTTCAGTGGATCTGCCTGTCTGCTCCCCACTCTGTCTCTGGTGAATCTTCTCACCCCCCACACCTCTGGCCTGCACCTTAGTTCTTCTATGCATAAATAAATAAAATAAATCATAAAAACTTCATAAACCATATCATCATGGATTTAGGTAAAAAATTGCTATACAGAAAGGATTTGGGAGTTGGGAGCATGGTTTTTGTAAAGGAATTGCTAGTGACATTCAGTATTTGTGATGCAAACTCATTTTCCTAATCTTCACAAGAAATTGTAAAATGTATTTAATATGGCATTATTATCTGGGGAATGCCACATATTTTTGCCTACAAGGTTCTTGACATTGACCGAATGCCAGAGAGACTTGGGCTAGTTCCTGGATGTTAGCAGCCTAGTGTGAATCTCAGCACAAAGTGCTTCATCTTGTTTATGGGAGAACAAGTTCATGCCTGGGAAAAATAAAGATTTCCTAGGCAGAGCGCTCCGGTTATGCGTAAAGGTCATTCTGTGTGTGATTCAATTCTACTAAATAAAACAAATAAGTCACTTCTATTAAATACTTTACTGGTGTAGATACTAGATGTGAGAATAACTCTGCACAAGTTTAGCTATTTTTAAAACATGAATCAAACATAAAATTTCATTTCATTTATTGCTAAGTTACATAAATACCTTTTATGAGTTTTAAGAAAACGTGATAATGGCTTTAACATTCATCTGGATTATTTTCTCAGGAACACGCCTACCTAATATTTTCCTCAGATCCCCTAATACAGTTCAGCATTAATAAATAAGCCACTCAGTTCAGTTTTCATGCATATGTGAAATGTGGCATATACACTATTATATACAGTATGTATGTGTAGTCAAACTCATACACAAGGAAAAAATAAGTCATGCAGTTTATGTATTAAGAACAAACTTTCTTCTATGATTTCAGGAAAATATTTTAAGAACCTGTGTGTCCTCAGGAAAATATTCATTTGTATTGATTCATAGTAATTTTTATACTTAATTTGATGCTCACTTTCTCTTAATAGTTTTTCAGTGACTTCATGCTATACCCACTTATTAGCAACTTAAAATCTAGATTTATTTCATTTTTCTGAGCATTGCAAAGTATTCTGCTGCCTTCAAACCACCGTGTAAGGTGTGTCACGGACAGCTTTTGAAACCATTCCTAGCGTGTTTTCAATGACAGTGAAATGCTCTGATGCATCTGTCTCCCTACAAGCAGGGCAAGTTGGCTGGACATTTGGAAGTGGGGCTGCAGAGTTAGTGTTTATCTTCTAAATTTGGGTAAATGTGATTTATAGGATGGCATTAAATTATTTTTGCATTGTCAGATTTTTTTAAATTATATTTTTAAATTGTATTTTTTTTTATCGAGGTAACTCTGGTTTACAACACTGAACATGACTGAAAGGTATAGGTTCATACCTCATGTAATGAGAACGACTTTATTTCCCAAAATTTGCTTTGACAAATAAACTAAGAAATTAAATTTTCATTAAAAATTCTTTCGCATCATGGCAAAATCATAACCACCCTGTCTTTGGATCCTTGAAGAAAGTAGCATTTTTACTAGATTTTCAAAATACACTGAATCATCCTTGAAATCCTGGGGGAAACTCAGTCTTACTGATTTATTCTTTTAATAGTGTGCAGCTTCCTTTTATGTTATCTTTCAGGATTTTATGGATATGTTATATTCGCTACATAAAACCAGTTTGGGGTTAAATGTTCCTTGAAGTTTTGATAGAATCCACTTATGAAACTGAAGAGGACAGGTTGTTTGTTGACACCTTCTGAATTTCTCACAAGCTGATTGATCAATTTAGAATACGATACAGTCACTTTGGTTAGGTTGTATTTTTGTCTTGAAAATTATCCAGCTCATCCAGCTTTTCAAATATGTTTGAAGAAAAATGATTGGCATGTGAAAAATCTCTCCTAAATCTGAGTTGTCCTTCTCAGTTAAAATTATATGATATTATATTTCCACTTTATTTTTTTAATTAAAATGGCTGGTGCTGTCACTATTTAGGATTTAATTGCTGACGGAGAAGCAGAAATTGCATTTATGTTTTAATTAACACATTCATTTGCCTCTGCTATTTTTCATGACTTTCTTTCTCTCTTCCTTCATTTATATCTCGCAGCTCCTCCAGCTTCTGAAATTGAATTCTGATTCTTTTTAAAATCTCTTTGAATATTTTAAGTATTTGATGTATATTGTGTATGTATATGCAGGTATTTGTGGTTATGAGTTTTTCTGTAAGTTTTTACATTCCTGATTTAAAAAATATTTTGGACCACTGGTTCTGGACAGGTGAAGGGTGGTGACAGGTGTCTGGGTCACACAGAGTATTGTGAATCAATGTTACCACAAAAATAAAATTAGAGGGGCCTCCCTGGTGGTGCAAGGGGTTAAGCACCACCCTATGAAGCAATCTGCAGCCTCTGCGGCACAAGTTCCATCCCCAGCCGGCCAGAGAGAAATCCACATGGCACAGCAGACCTCTCCTGTCTCCCCACTGCTCCCCTCGGCAGTGGATTTCAGTGGATCTGCCTGTTCTGCTCCCCGCTCTGTCTCTGGGGAATCCTCTCACCCCTACACCTCTGGCCTGTACCCCAGCTCTTGTATGCATAAATAAATACATCTTTAAAAAAAATAAAAAATAAATAAAATTATATCTGACACATGATCAGTTTTCTTATTAATGGCCCTTTTTGTCTTTTACTCCTTCTTATATAATTAAAATACCAGTAATAAGATCTTTTCATTACTTATTTAAACATTTAAATATTATTAAATATTAAATATTGAAGATATTTATTAACATATTACTGATATTTTTATTGTAGAAATACATTATTTTATTTTTTAAATTCTTTGATTTCTTTTTTGTTGAACATACAATTACATTTTAATATATCTCATGGCGTTTAAAAAGTGCATTATTTCATTATAAATTCTCCTTTCTTACATACTGTGTGTAACTCATATCTGTGAATTCAATCATATTATATGTTCACATCTACCCTACCGTTAGGAATCTTACTTACTCTGCTTCTCGTATTCTCGCTACCATGTTTAGCTCTGGGATTCCCGGTGGCCTGAACTGAGAGAAGCGACTTAGAAGCAGAGCTCGGGTCTTCGCGGTCCTGCAGGTGCCCGTGGCGGCTGCGCTGCTGTGGGCGACGCGGGGCCTCTCCAGGTACATCACTGATCTGCTGCAACTCTCCTTGTAAAAGTGCTGCAGTTTCTTTCTTTTTTTTTAGATTTATTTATTTATGGGGACCTCCCTGGTGGCTCAGGGGTTAAGTCTCAGCACTGTGAAGCTATGGGAAGCCACTGCAGCAGAGTTCCATCCCCTGCCAGGGGGCTACCCACATGGCGCAGCAGACCTCTCCTGTCTCCCCGCTGCTCCCCGCAGCAGTGGATTTCAGTGGATCCACCTGTTCTGCTCCCATATATTTATTTTTTATTTTTTAAAATAAATCTTTAAAAAATTAAAAAAATATATTTATGCATACGAGAACTGGGGTACAGGCCAGAGGCACGGGGGTGAAAGGAGTCACCAGAGACAGAGTGGGGAGCAGTGAGTCTGATATTGCGTCTCCCTTAAACACTAGGGCTTGGGATTGGAAGTGAATTGTAATTTCATTGCAGCTGAAAATCTTTTTATTCTTCTCATTTTCTATTGGGTTTAAGAGAAGAGCATTTGTCTTCATTTGTGTGTTTTCCCCTAATGAGGAGCAGAGACAGGGGATTAGAGGAGGAGACACTGGAGGATTAGGCATCTTCCCCAGGAGGACCCCCCAGGCAGCTGACACTGGCCACCCCTCCCAGGCTGAGGCCCAGGGTCTCTGCGATCCTCCCTCCTTGCCCCTCCTGGCACCTGACGGTAAGCACTGTCTCAGCCACTTGCCTCAGGAGCTGCTCCATCCCTCTTTCTGTTTCACTGACCCCAGCAAGCATGACTAAACAGCCCCTTGATTTAACTTATTTATCTTCCAGTCCAGTCTATGACAGACCTGCTTCAAGCTGTGCTGTAGTACATTTCAAGTGTGTACAGTAACTTGGTTTATAAGTGCACATCTATGCAACTACACACCCGATCGAGATAGTGCAGCAGCTCATGAAGGTATGTTGTGCTCTTTCAGCTGTCACCTCCTGTTTCCTGCAGGTCACTGGGCTAATATCTGGGAAAGACTTTGCAGTGAATCATGTGGGGAGCAGGCTTCAAGGACAACTGGGTTTTCCCCCTTCACACCATACCCAAAAAATCAAACTCAGGTGATTAAAGATGAATATTTGAGCCAATTCTGACCCTATGCCCCTAAGTCATATACAGTGTTGCCAATCTGTTAGCTTAGTTTAAAAGGATCATAAAACAAACAGGAATTTGACTCTAAAAAGCTTAAAATTATAATAAAATAGATTATCTTCATCAATTTATATGAAGACATTTTAAGATAAGTACAAAACAGAAGACACTGCTATACTTTATACTCATATCCATTTATTAAATATATATTTTAGGGAGTGAAATATCATTTATAGGATAGAATAGTATATTTTCAGTATGTATTATTGTTAAGAATCAATATCCAGAATATAAAAATAAATCCTACTTATTGGAAGTGAGCAAAGAAAGATGGGCTAAATAATTGAGCAGTCACTTAAATCCAAAGAAAATCAAAAGAGGTCAGCAAAATCTGAAATTTGGTCCACAACACACTTTGCTCTGAGTCCCCCCTAGTTCTTGCCAGAAATCCACCTGAAAGTGCTCCCTGGTTGGCGTTAGGATCTCATTCCCATGGCAGACTCTGCTCTGGGAACCCCACAGGAGAAGAATACAATTCTTGTAGGAAACCAATGACAAATATTTTACCCAACGGAAAACAATGACTATCTGGAACATATACAACACTCTCCAAAAACGCAAGATTGCCAATTTTACATACCACTATAGTATGTGTCAGAAGTTTTAGTTAAAGCAATCATATATTTAGAAAGCTGTGGAGTCCTATCAGGGTAAGTAAAGAAACACAAAGGTTTCTTTATTTTTTCCTATCTTTATTTTTCCTATCTCCTTTATGAAACAGGTGCACAGACATAAAACTACATGACCTGTAACAGCACAAGAATGTGAAAATCCACTCATAAAATCTATAAAAATATGAGAAAATTATGCCTCATTGTTATCAAAGAAATATAAGTCAAAATGAAATCATTTATTTGTTATCAAATCAGGAAAACAAGATAAAATAAAAATATACAAAAATTATTGAAAAAAGCAATATAAACATTATAAAATAACAAACATTATTTTAAAAAGGCAAAACAGCAGTTACAGTAAAGAATAACCTGGTCAAAAGATCATTCACATAGGGCCTCCCCTGGTGGCGCAGCGGTGGAGCGCTGGGTGGCGAAGCTGCCCGCTGCCTCTGCGGCACCAGTTCGATCCCCGGCTGCTCCCCAACCACCGGAGGAGGGTCCCACATGGCGCGCAGACCTCTCCTGCCGCCCGCTGCTCCCCTCGGCAGTGTCCTTCGGTCCTTCTGCCTGCTCTGCTCCCCGCTCTGGCTCTGGTGGATTCTCTCACCCTCCCGCGCTTCTGACTGTACCCGGTGCTTGTGTAAATAAATAAATAAATCTAAAAAAAAAAAAAAAAAAAAGCAATGGAATGTTTAAGAAACTTTAAAAAAAAATAAAGCTCACTAATGTTCGATGGAACATTAAGAAAATAATTATTAAAAAAAAGATCATTCACATAAGCTGATGTTAATCATGAAAGCTTATTTATACTACTCCTAGAGAAAATGATATATTTTTACCTAAATTATTAGATGGGAAATTTAAAGTAGGCAAGTAAATAGATGAACAGATGGGGCATATACACACACACACAAGTGTATATATATTTATATATACTCATATATACTTATGTATATGGTATACATATAATTTTGATGCAATAATTCCTCTTCTTGTAATTTATAGTAGATATCACTGATGTATAGCTATTCATATGTTGGGTTAAAGAGGTGTTCATTACTTCTGTGCTCGCTTTGAAAAGTGACCAAACAAAAATATCCACCACAGAAAGTAGGAATCGTATTAGGTCTAGGTCATAAATATTATGCAAGTATTACTGATATTATAACAGAAGATTGTTTCTTTTCATGAAAATGTTAATATATTTTAGTGAGGATTCATTTATTCTGGGGAAAAAGGGTGTGCAGGTCCAGATGCATAGGTTTCAAAATGTGACCCCACAGTCCGTCTCGATGAGAATAATAGTGTGTTTTCTTTTTTGACTTGATTGTATTTTAGGGGTTGAATATTCATAAAGAAATTGTGATAAGGTCACCACGGGGGGTGGTGGTGGTGAAGCAGGAGCCAGTAAAGAAACCCAGTCAAAGCCCACAAAAGAACAAGTAAGTGTATAAAGTGTTTTCAACCCCATTAGTCACCAAATAATTGATTGTTGACGTATAATAATTAATGACATTTAGACTGATATTGCAGGTAACAATTTTGTAAAAATAACATCCAGTCAGACACTGGAAGAAAGGACACTACACAGCAATTGGGAGCAAAAATGCTATGGATTATAATTTGAAACATACATTAGAAGTCACTAATAAAAATAAACATTTTAATTCAGCTATGTCAGCCTCACTTTCAGACCCTTAACTTAAAGGAGAGGCTACAAAAGACCACAGAGTTAAGTGGGCCATGGTGCTCACCAGCACTTGATCGAAATAATGGCATAATTTCCAATATAATGAGAATAACTAAAAATTAGCACACATTTATGTCAAGTGTGGCAAACATTTTCTGTGAGAGTGCAGAGAAGAGGCATTTTAGGTTTTGCATGTTATTTGGTTTTTGTTGTAATTATTCAAGTCTTGTGTCCTAGCATGAAAAAAAATCATGTGAACAACAGGCATGATTTGTACCAATAAAACTTTATTTACAGGGCCTCCCTGGTGGCGCAAGGGGTTAAGCACCACACTATGAGGAAATCCGCAGCCACTGCAGCACAAGTTCGATCCTGGACCGGCCAGGGAGCAACCCACATGGCGCGGCAGACCTCTCCTGTCTCCCCGCTGCTCCCCTCAGCAGTGTATTTCGTCAGTCTGCCTGTTCTGCTACCCACTCTTTTTCTGGTGAGTCCTCTTACCCCCGGCACCTCTGGCCTGTACCCCAGCTCTTGCATGTATGCATAAATAAATCTTAAAAAAAAAACTTTATTTACAAAACAGGAAGTCATACTGATTTGGACTAGAGGTGCTGTAGTTCTGTCCTGTTGAAGGCTATTTCTATATAGTCAGAAATATTGTCAGAATATTGGCAAATGGTAAGGGAATAGGCAGTGTTTGATCCCACTTGTTATTTGGGTACATAAATCTAATAAATCTTACTTTTTACCTATTTATGTAGAAAAAAACAGGTGAATAACCACCAACATGCTTATATATGTATTTCTTGCTCATAAAATTATAATTTGGGGTATTTTTCTACTTTGTATTTTGTAACATTTTCTATTTTAAACTTAGCATTTTAAACACCTTAAAAGTAGTAAGTAATAAACTATGATATTGAACTCAAGCAAATAAATAAGAACAAAATAAAGCATGATCTGTGTCAATAATCAGAACAGCTATTTATTTATAAGAATAATTTATCAACTAGAAAAGTCAAAAACAAATAATAAAATAATTAAGTGCTGTTATGGAGAATGGAGATTGTTTATATTTCTTGCTGTTTGAATTATATTATTACAAAAGACAAAAACATCCTATGCAGTTAATGAATCTACTCTTTTAACTATCTGTACTGCAAAAGAAACCAAAAATTACTTTGATGCTTTCTTTAGAAATCTAGTCAGTCATTGCAAAACCACTAATCAAGGAAGACTTAACAAAAATTCTGCATCATTTTACTTAGCAAAAAAAAAGTGTATAAATGTGGTATGTGCATGTGTGTGTGTGTGCAATGCAAAAATTTCAGGGAACCATAGTAACATCCCTTCTATAGATGGGTGACAGGAAGATAGATGAGTAGATAGGTTGATAGGTCAATATGAATTATTGATTAGTTCCTTTTTCGGTGTCTATATTATGCAGAGAAGCAGTGGCAATATACTATAGCATGAGCAATAATGTCAATCAGAATGCATCTAAATCTTGTTGTTACTTCAAAGAAAATTTGAAAAAAGGAGTATTCTCCTCTGAGATTTTGTATTCATTTTGACCAATTTATTCCTGTCAGTTTATGTTTACAAGCTTATTGCTGGGTTGATACAGTGATTGATTTAATAGATGACATCCGTCCTCAAGTTAATATTGAACCAGTATCCCAGGTATCAGTTAGGATGAGCTGAAGGCAAGAGTTGTCAGACTTCTTATTAATTCTTCACCCATTCTCAGATCCATCAGGCAAGTGAGATCCGTGTTTATATCCCCAGTTTAATGATGAGGGCCTTGAAGTTTAAAAAGATTAAAAACTCAGCCAAAGTCATTGGGCATCAAGGTTAGCATTTGAACCCAGATGAATGGAACAGAAATGTCTGTCTTTAAGCACGTACAAACTTGTCACAACAGGACAGGAGAAAGGCGTGATTGAGAACATACACGCTTATGATCGCTGAGATAGTGAGACTGACATAGCTGAATTAAAAGGTTTATTTTTCAGTAGTGACCTAGGGAGGCAAGACCACAAGGGAGCAGCATTTGAGTTGAGCTGGAAGGTTCTGCTCCAGATTCTCGGTCTTGGGGAGTGCGACCTTCAATTGGACCTTATGACCCCAAGGACAGTGAAGCATAGGCAGCGGCGCTGTTCCTGGCCCATGTCCTGTCCAAACCTCCGGTGAGCTGTGCAGGCAGGTCCCAGCCCCTGCCCCTTGTCTGTCCAGTTTGCACACAGCCAGCAAGCAGGTGCTCATGTTCAACAGGCTGGTCCTGCACCCAGATCCCCCCTGTGTCCGTGCAGCACTTTCTCCACCAGCTGGACTCCTGTGGGCATTCAGTTCTCCTATCTAAAAACAGAGACTAGGTTTGATGATTTTTTTCTTTTCAAGATTTATTTTTATTTATACGAGAACTGGGGTACAGGCCAGAGGTGTGTGGGGATGAGGGAATTCACCAGAGACAGAGCAGGGAGCAGAACAGGCAGACAGACCGAAGACACTGCTGAGGGGAGCAGCGGGCGAGGCAGGAGAGGTCTGCTGTGCCATGTGGGTATCTCCCTGGCCAGCCAGGAATTGAACTTTTGCTGTAGAGGCTCTGGACAGCTTCACAACATAGCGCTTAACCCTCTGCACCACCTGGGGGGGGGTGGGGCTAGGTTCAATGATTTTAGAAGACTGCATTTCAAACATTCTAATAATAAATGTTAGTGGGTTAAATTAATCCATGAGCTCGCCTTCTTCCAGAAGAACTTTTCAGGAGCATCTAGGACACAGTTGCGACTTCAGCCTGGTTGCTTGGGCCACCGGGGCCACGATTCGTGCAGGTGACTGGGCCAGGCCAGGCCTGAGCTGGCTCAATTATTTGCAATGGCACTATCTAATGGGTTCTATCCCAAATCTTGGGGTAGAGCATTGAAAGGAATGGAATCAGTGAAAACTGTCGACAGCCCATTTTGAAAAACATAGCTGTCATACTGGGACCGCCAACTGGGGAGAGGGAAGGAAGTCAGCAAAGAGGAGCAGGGGCCTCATGGCCGCGTGGAGGGCTCTGGGGGTATAATGGTGGGTCAGGTGTGATTACATATACCTGAAGAGGCTTGAGCCGCCATCCCTAAATCACGCAGTGTTATAAGACAAGCTTATCTCCAAAAATATATATAATTTAAATAATAACAATAAATCAATATATAATAAAACACCCAAAAAAGACATGAAGAGGAAATCTTAGATGCCAGTCAAGAATGCACATCCGTCTCAGAACAGACGGTGCGATATTGGAATAGGAGTCACAGACGCTGTGTGTTAACTGGAAGGACAAATAGAAGAGAGAAAAATGCAACAAAAATAAAGGTAGCACTAATTGAACAACTGAACAATTATTTGCGTGTAAGAATCACAAATACCTACAACTGGGGAGCAGACAAATGAAAACATGCTCATTAGCTCCCAGGAACTGCAAATCCAAACGGCACTGACACGCCTGCTTGTGCCCGGGGGAGAACCAGCATCAAAAAACGCATTTGCTAAGAAAGAAGTCTTGGCGAGGAGTTGGAAAACTAGAATATATTTATTCTGTGGGGAAACAAAGTGGTGCAGCCTCTTTGGGGAATAGTCTTGACGCTCCCCCAAAACTGGAATGAAGCGACATCCGGCCACGGAGCAGTGGCTGTGGCCTCCCGGAGCAGCCCGGCGCCCACCACCCGGCGCGGAAGCCCCCACGCAGCCACGCGTCCTCCCACTGCTGAGTGGATGAACAAAGTGCGCCTGTCAACACAGGGGTGTCACAGGCAACAGAAAGGAACACGTGCTCAGTGAAACTGATGAGTTGAGAACCACCACATCCAGCCTGTGTAAGAAAAATCCAGAATAAGCAAAGGTACAGAGAGCAAAAGCACATCAGTGTTTGCCGAAGGCTGGGTGGCTGGGAGGGAGGTGGGGAGCTAACAGGTCCAGGACCTTGGGGGCTGAAGCAGAGAGTCTAAAATTTGTAGAGGTGACAGCGGCACAAATCTGTGAACGTACTAAAAATATTGACTCGCATGCTTCAAGTGGTGATATGTAAATTGTGTGAATTATACTGTAATAAAAGTATTTGACGGCATTTGATTACTTGCTTGTGGAACTATCTGAAAAGGTATCTATTGTACAAATAAAATCACCGGCATTGGCAGGCCGGCTGATCGGTCTTCACACTTAGATGGAATGTCACGCTGTGTCCATTCTCTGAAAGGGCTTAAGTGTCTCTAAATGATGTGACAGAAATTAGCAAAGTGACTTATATCTAGAAAGATTAAATTGATGAATGTAAAATTTAAAAATAAGAGAGGGCCTCTCTGGTGGTGCAAAGGGGTTAAATCTCAGCACTATGAAGCTATCTGCAACCACTGCAGCACCAAGTTCGATCCCTGGGCAAGGAGCTACCCACAGGGCGCAGCAGACCTCTCCTGTCTCCCTGCTGCTCCCCTCAGCAGTGGATTTCAGTGAATCCGCCTGTTCTGCTCCCCACTCTGTCTCTGGGGAATCCTCTAACTCCCTCATACCTCTGGCCTGTACCCCAGTTCTTGTATGCATAAATAAATAAATCTTAAGAAAAAAATAAAAGAAACAAAAAAGAACAAATCTTTCATAAATATTATATCCAACAACTGGTTGAAACCCTGGAAATTTTAGAGTAAATATACTCTCCTATGTCTATAATTTTTGTTTATGCCCTGTGTAGCCACCCTGATGTGTTTATTTAAAAATTAGTAGAGTGACACATCAACTCTTAAAGAATCCTTTAGACGACAACTGGAATAATGATTCAAAATATTGGCTGCAGTAACAGGACCAAAGGAAGGGGATTTGAAGAAAAAAAAATTCAATGAATCGGGAAATAGGTTGAGGCTACAGCATATCAGCATCTTGAGTCAGCAATGCCTCGGCCAGGTTGTGAAGTCATGGCACGGCCGTGAAAGTATGAATGTCCCTGGGAAGCACGGGATGGAGGGCATTAGGTGAGGAAGAGAAAATTCCAGTGGAGAAAAGAACAAATCAGAAACACTGGATCTGTCTCAGGCAGGGTTTCACCTCAGTGTTTGACAGAAAAGGGTCACTGCTGTCACCTTTTCTCAAGCGTTTCCAGATTTATCTTTCATCCGAAATCTTCAGCTACAGAGAAGAAACTTTTCAGAGCTGTTCCTGTAAAATGATATTTGGAACCAAGAAAAGAACTGGGTCAACAATAAATGTCTTGAAATCGCTTCAGGAAGAGCCGGGGGTGGGGAGGAGCAGGTGCCCACCGTGGCCCCAATCCCCGTCCCTTTCTCCAGCCCTGGCCGCTCAGGGCCGGCTGGGCCAGGGCTCTCAGCCAGAGCCCACCACTGCCCGTCTCCAGACCAACTGTCCACGCTCCTGGGCCCAGGAGAAACACGGGAGCGAACGAGGGAGCCCAAATAGCCAGCGATCGCTACTCCTCAAACAATGTTCTTCTTGAAA